ATTGTATTTGTTTTATTTCATCTTGTCGTTCCAGGTGATTGGCTGTTGCTTGATATCCCCGGTGTGGCTGCGCTTGATGTGCATGTTGACAATGTGCCTACTTGTCTATTACCCACTACCTCCTCCGTACTGGCTCCAGGAGACAGTTGGTTGTTGCTGGAGGGGACTGGGTGCACAGTTCTTGTGGCCGTGCTAGGCTCAAAGAGCGGTTCCATGCACTCAGTGTGGAGCGGACTACGGTCCAGCCACCGCCTTGTGTGCGATTGATTCCCCAAATACAGTGTGCTTGTGTTTGCCTGTGAAGGAGCGTGGGCCGGCTCTGTTGATGAAAGGTGGCTCATATCCACATGCCTCCCGGTCTTATTCGTTCGGGTTTACACTGGATATGTGGTGTGTGGTTGGAGCTATGGGTGATGCAGCGCAAGCCACCCAGGTCCCTCTATAAATGCAGGCGTCCTGTGGCTGGCCACAGTGACAGGCAAATCCGAAAGTGATGCCGCCAACTATGTGCGTGAGTGGATGAAAGCTAGATAAAACCAGACGAACAGTTAGTATGCCTTTGCTGCCCTTCCAAACGACATTCATTCTAAATTCTACTCTTACTGATCCACCTGTGATCATCTTTCCATACAAGTATGCACTTACTCGATCATGCAGATACACTGGTGTTTTGCAGTATCGAGAATAAAATTTTATTTATTTATTTTTACGTTGCTTGGTATGATCTTCTTATTTCAACTGAACTTCCTTATTCTGTACCTTCGATTTCCCTTCCCATACTTTGCTTACTTCACGTGACTGCCACAGCAGGGACTGCTAGCGCAGGAAACGTGGGCATCAACTGTTTGGCCAGGGTGCGGCACGGGTGTTCCGTTTTAGATCCATCACGAACTCTGAGTACTTCATCGATTCATGGCTCAATGATCCACTCCAGATGGAACACTCACGGGATTCTCCTATGGTTCCAGTCCCACCCGCACTTGAAATTGAAGTTGACTAAGAAAACCGTAAAGCAACAACAGCTGTAACCGATCTACACTTCCGCATTGTGTTGTGAAAGCATCGTGGTGTAGTTTAGAAGCCGAAAAAAACGAAATTGGTCCCAGTGTCTGTGCATAATTTAGTAGGCCACGCACTGTACTACTTCAAACATTGCTGGAATCAAAGCGGCCGTTTGAGCGTGATATCGATGAGCATCGTTTGTTTCTCCAGCAATTTTCCACTTTCATAAAACAACGTTTGTACGGATTTTCTACTCCTAACCGAATCGTTTAAGGCCACTGCGTTTTCGGACATTGAAACGTACTCAGTTGTTGTACTCACTTCCTTTTCATGCAGTTTTTCAATCTGGAGCACGCCCATTCCAGCGTATCCACAAGAGTGAGGATTGGATTCACATTACTCCAATCTGTAATTCAAAGGAATAGAAAAATGTTGACCAACAAAACCGTCGACGATGATAATGAGTAAAGTACAGTTGATGCTTCTGAGTTCGTTTGGAGCAACTGCAAAAAACGAAGATCGACACTTGAGGGCCTCCTAGCGGCGTGCACAGGCTCGCAGAATATGCCCTTCTCGAAAAGCTACTTTTTAGTCGTTTAGCTACTAAGCCTCAGTATGTAAGTGTGCTTTAGGCTGATGGGTTGCCCCATACTACTGCCGAGCAGTAAGCGTTGCCCCTGTGTGGCTAACAACACTAGTTGCTGGGAAAGCAAGGTAATAACTATACGCATGACTATAACGATCTGGTGTGTAGGAGAAAAGGCAAGTTGAAGTTCAGAGGATAAGAAGCCGTAATATTATTAATAATAACAATTATAAGTTAAGGAACTGTATTACAGGATATGAGATGCTGTCCATTACGAATCGGCATACATGTTGTTTATCATGTGCGTTCGAGGCTGGCCACCTCCAACCTGGGTCGCGTTTCCTGCGGGCTCGAGCGGAACTGCATGAGACACGAGATACACAACGCACTAGTCACCGACCACGTAAGATTCGCTTTCCTCGCTAAATGCTATTTAGCGAGTGAAAAACTTTGTTGTGATTTCCACTGACCGTACGGATAGCTGGTTACCATTGCGCAAATCAAAGCAGGCTCACTTCCCGAGTCAGAAGACAAAAGCTTTGGGCAAAACCTCGATTGAGCTTCCGAGAAAACAGCGTGTAAAAGTAAAGATGGGGTCAAAATATACCGTTCATGAAGGGATGACCTAGCTGAAAGCTGCTGTATTTCAGCAACTACAAGAAGCTTGAAAATTCACTTGTTGGTTGGCCAAAATTTGCGTTTACTGCCCGACTACAAAGTAAAGCATTCTCGTTGGCAGATGAGTCGCTCACTTTAGCTAACCAATTAGCTTCAGGATGCGTCGGGCCAAAATTCTCCAGGCTACTAGCGAAGCACTGGCTACGAAGGCTTCAATGAGCGGACTCCCTTAACATCTTACTCGCGCAAATTGACTTATGACCAGAGACGTAGCGTTGGAGGGGGAAGGCAGAAGGGCGGTCCGCCCCAGACGGAACGTGACAGGGGGCAGCATATTTAGTACCGTCGTATGTTCGATACCAAATATAAAGGGCAAAATATCCGGATAAGCTGATGCTTGAGGATTCTAATGTTACTCTATATGACCAACAAATCATTTGCGCCATGTGTCACACGTGTGCAAACGTTCTTCCCCGTGATCCTCATAGCTGACCCATTGTGGTCACTTTCATCACATACACCTCAGTGTCCCAAATGGTCATCCATTTCATCGAAAATGGATGTACACTTTACCTGAGTTAATTAGGTGGCCTTCACACACCTATTCTGTCTTCAGTCAGAGGGAAAATTTTACCACCGCCCTGAGCGCCAAAAGTAGTTACTACGCCACTGCATATGACTTCTACCTTAGATCCAGCCGCATCCTAATGACAGATCTATGAATCCGATCCGTTTGTAGATCACAAAGTAACAAGGTCGGTTGTAGCCTGGCCAGGGCGCATGGCCAGCATTATTGATTGAGTTCAATGAAAATGTAGCTGAAGCTGCAGACGCAAAAACTTTGGCCAATATTCAACTTATGCTAAATTCACAATGAACCGGAGGTCTACGTTGTAATCAATGAGAATAACTAAGACGTCCGGTTGTTTTCCAGTTCATCTGTGCTAGGACGCTCCTTGTAATGTGGTGAGTGGCTGCTTACCTTGCTGAGCATTTCTCATTGAAAAGTGAATGGTTTTGGTAGTGAGTTTCCGACCTGTATAGAGAAAGAAAATGTGGTATAGATAAGCCAACCGTAGAAGTAGTGCCGTCATGGTAAAGGTTACAAGGTAGGGTACCATGCACGAAATAGATTAGGATTTCAGCAAAGTCAAGTTTAGGTTGGTGTATACATCTGGGAAGTTGGGTCGAAGTCGAGTAACTCACATCAATGGTTCAGGAACACACTTCATTTCAGGGGTTGACAAATTCGGCGTTAATTGGAAAGCGCGCGCTCCGTCGCTTGGATATGTGTTAGCTGGCTGTACCGATTAGTGCACCAACATCGTACAATGTCCAAGGTACAGGTGCGAACGCCTATTTCAGACAGCAGAGCATTTTGAGCTACAGAGAATTCTTGCTGAGAAAGTACAACTGTTGGGCCGATTATGCTCACTACGGCGGACAATTTGGTCACGTTGCCTATGTCTGTGTGCAAGATTATGCAAGGCGGCCAAATCACTTGAGTTTCCATTTTGTATCAGCGGCGCATAAAATAAGGTCATGGAGTGTTCTCAACCTCAAACTGATCAGCCGAGCCCGTTGAGGGGACAGGTGACTTTTGTCACCTAAAACATCCAGTCAACTACCACCAGTATAATAGCCTTACTGCCAAGAATCAAAGTACTCAAGCTCAACTCGGGAACCTTAGCCACCGGCCATGTCAATTGTTGAACAAGTTAATACATATTTGATTTCAATCTTGCCAAGTTTCAAACACCGAAATATGGCGAAATGAGTTACCACAACACTTGTCTCCATGAGAATGAGTGTTAACTTAGAATTACTGAGACAGCGCAAGAAATGGAAACAAGTAAGCGGTCAGACGAGGTCACGCAGACACTTGAGTCAACAGACCGAAGGGTTATCAGTAGTAAGCCGGAGGGAATGGTAGTGTGCCAGGTTTCCTCACATATGTCGTGGCAGGTAATGATGGTAACAATACAGTATATACTTATGGACGGCGCTGGACACAATCTGTCCTGGGGGTGTTCATAACGACGTAGCAAATTTCAGTGCATTAATAACTGCTGCTGCATAGAAAATACGGAATAGCAATATACAACTGAGCATTTTCATGAGTAGGGTGCGGAAACTCACTCACCAGTCGTCGCGACGATTGTAGCTCGGGGAACAAAAAGCACACTAATGAGCATCGCGGATGACCCTTCAGCGGTGGGTTACCTTGGATAATCTGGCAGTCACTAACGAGATCGCCTTAGGATTAAATCTTGTTCAGCAAGCTACTTACTGGTAAAGTGAAATGGGTTATCCTCTGTCATGCGTCCGTGTAGGTTGCACCGCAATGGCGCGGTTCAGACCTTCGATTGTTGAGACAATGTCTCCTCACCTGCCAATAAGTGGCCAGCACACCGGCCGTTCCAGTAAAACAAATCAATTGTTGCTGGGCCGGCGATGAAAGTGACATAGCGACCTGCCTTATGGGTGTCAAGTGGTACCGTGCACCCCATAGTGGCTTACCCGAGCCGATGGATGGATCCAAGTACGGGAATCAATCCAGAAGGGCACTTAGTCCGCTTGGACAAGCAGTCGCTCTTATTCACTGTCAAGTATGCACCCTGTGTGATGCGAGTGAGCAGCCTATCGGACCGGTAGGTTTGTCTTGAATGCAATGTGTACTCTAGCGACCAACTCACTAGTGATATCTCACCCTGTTGAACTTCCAAGCACCAGCAGGATGTGTAGTGCATGTGATCCGGAGACTCATCTGTCTAGATTGAACTGGCCGCAGTCAGTCTTTCAGACGTGTTACCTGAGGTTAGCTCCCTCGCGTCTCCGTCGTTGAGTGAGAAACGTTCTACCATTCCAGCTCGAAGTGAGCTGGTAACAACACGACCAGTGTGGTGGCGGTTACAAACTTCAAAAAACCATACAGTTACTGAATGTAACTGGTGAGTCCGCGATCATGGAGCCTATAAGTTCGGGCCTGACCTTCCTGGCTGAACCCCTTCTGTTGTGCTAAGTGTCTCATTTCCTAAATTGCTGAGCGCTACCACAAGTACCCATGCGAACACTGTTTGCTGTTGTTGTGCATCCCTTGGAGTAGGCATGACATAGCAACAGCCACTGTGCAATGTGTTTCGCACAGCTATGCATAAGATGCTGTGGTAACAACATGCACTCAAAACCCGACAATCTGATGCTCCGTGAAAATTGCTATCCATATCGGTACATCTTAGGAGCCGGTTAGTGAATTGATCAGGTAACCTGCCAGACCCATGAACCAAAGATTCGATGTCACGATATTTGTCTCCAATGTCTGTCTGATCAGTGGTAACGTCGAAAAGTAAATGAAATAAGTTATCAAGAAAAAGTTCGAGTGTGGACAACATAAGAAAGATTCTCAAAAGTAATCAGCAGTTAATTAACCGCATGCTCTCACCGCGCGGTGCCAAATGCGAGGCCAATTTCCCAGCTGCTTGATGTTCTTCATAGTTTACGGGAGTTTTATACGAATCGTACTTAATGCTGTCTAGGTCCAACGATTCCGAAGCACCTTCGAGCAAGGATTCGTCCAGTGTTGTGCTACTGCTACTGCTGCTTTTAAAAGGCTTTGACAAACTTGTGCGAGGCAATGAATTCCATGTAGATCCGGACCTGTTTTCTCCGTCCTCCCTCTGAGGTGTCGACTGTGCACAATTGCCAGCTAAAATTGAGATCGGAAAATAATACTTCGCTGATTACACCACCGTACCGAGCCATAAACATGCTTCCCGGACATGCATTGATCGAGGAGTTGGACATGAAAGTAACTGTAGTTTCATGCTGAGCCGATTACCTCGTTCAACACAACTGTTTATCGTGGTTTTAACGGATGGCCGAGACAAAATTTCACAGCTAACTAACCAAAGAGTCTACAGTTGTCCCGCAATTTTGAGTGTACCACTGACAAGAGTTTAGAATTTCAACTTCGTAAAACATGGGGACAAGACGGATACCGTTTCAGTTTGCCAGTTTGATCGAATTCCGTGTAACCTGCGTTCCATCTGTTATGCATTAATAGTATGTTGCTGCCCGCCCGTGGCCTTAAAGGCCACAAGTCTGCCTTGTAATCTGAAAGCGCGAGTTCGAGCCTGCGTAGGAGACCGGGCGACCGTCGTAGTATCCTTAGCCCACCCGTGACTGGTGATGGTTGCGCGGCAGCGAAGCGTCGGTATTGCATACCGACTTACTGCTGATGCATTACTGTACTAACTGTATAGATCAGATGGATCCAGCACGTAATGCCACTTTCAGGAACACTTAATTTGTGATCGTCGATCGTTCCTGTGTGATGTTGGGCTCTGCGGTTCAATGGTAAACAGATCGGGTAAAGCATTTATAGTCTCATACTCTAGGCAGTCTTCAGTGATCTGTAGTCGCCTAGTACTTGGTGTGACTTGACGACTACAGCCTGCATGAAGGATGTGCACAAAATATCGGCATCTGTCCCACAGGTTATAGGATGCAAAACAACCCGGTTGGCCGAAATGTAGGATAGGGACTAGTCACGGAGTGAACAGTTGGGTTCATAGTGGGAAATTTTACGACACTGTCCCTTGTCCACCACGCTTGTTTCTTGAAAATAACTGCCAGCAGCAGTCTTTCCGGCTCAGTTCGGCTTAAGACTGTGTTTGCACCACCCTGTGAACTCGTGGTTATCACGAAGATGTCCAATTTAACTAGAACGAAACCGGCTGAAAGCCTCTTCACATGGTTTTCTGAAGGGTAGCGAATGAAAAACCGCTCTTACGATTACACTTACTAATATCGGAAGAGGTAAATAGTGAGATGATTCAGTCGATTGGTGCACTTTTCTCCATCAAAGACGCGCAACCAATGCCCTTACAAAGGCATGACCATTCGGGATCAGTCTGAGGTCACTTGGCTCACCTCGCACTTTCAAAGCTGGTTCAAGGTCTCTGTCAGTAGGTTCCGTACGTAAAGCGGCGGCAGTTCTGTATCGATAATAATAGCATCGATTAGATTTAAGGAGTGGGGTTTGTGATCGCGCACGAGGATGGTGATTGTCGCATCGGTGGAGGGTTGAATTGAGGACCAGTGCTCAGTGGATGCTTACAAATGAGTAGTATTACAAGTGAGCCGATGCTTTGTGACTGCCTAAGCAGCTGCCCTCCGATTCTCTTGTGTTGATGATGTTGAAAGAACCAGTCTTCTGTGTGGTTGGTGCTCACAACTTATGCAGTATACCGTCATCAGTGTCATAATTGGACACACGATCAAGGGTGAAAATAATTCTGTTGCACTGTAGGTCTTTTCAAGTACGTGCTTGTTCGTTTCGCAGTGACAATTCCGAGGTACTGATGATATACTGCTGTAAATTCCGGGGAAGACATTGGTCTTGCTAATAAGACACCAGACAACGCACACTTAAACCCTACCCGGACACTGTGCGCTGAGCAAAACACACGCCTCCGCCGTAGTTAAACCCACGAATCACGCGGTGGTCCCATGCTTCGATCAAGAGGTCAGCTTAGTGGGCAGCAGTCTTCGTCAAACTCCAAGGATGTGGCATTGGGGATCTTCTCCTCGGGTGGATCTGCAACTTTCACTCGCAGAGGCGTCCGGAGGTGAGAATGCATGAATCCATATCAGACCCAAATCATGTGGAGTGTGGTGTGCCACAAGGTTGGGTACTGGGGCCCCATCTATTCTTGGTCATCACTAACGATATAGTGAGCCAACTTACGTTGAACTGTTCAGTCAACGCCGATGACATTAAAGAATGGTGAGCCGGCAGAGCTCCAGAAGATCCTATTCAGCTCCAAAACAACTTCCACAAGATCCATGGATGATCGGTCCAAAACGAATTTTTATCCATTGCAGCTACATATCGAGTGCTCCATTTACGACATCGAATGATTCACGCTTATACGCTAGGGAACCAAGATCTGCAGCACTGTTCTCGCGAAAAGAACCTCAATGTGCTGGCCCAGGAAGATCTCGGCTGCTCGGAGCAGTTAGAAAAAGCATCGAAAAAGGGCTTCGAGTTATGGTGATTTTACAGAGAGCTTACAGACACTTTGAACTGTCGATTTTCTGCCAACTACATACATTTTATGCGCTCTCGTGTTTACTATGTAATTCAAACATGTCAACCATGGTTAAAGCGGATTCTCACTGCCTTAGAGATTCTGCAAACTCGGGAGACCAAAAATGTCATGTGGATGCGCTACTTATCATACGAACAAAGCCTCGGATTGTCAGGCGGTTTCAGTGGATGCTATCGGCGTTGGTGTGGTAACCTACCCATGGGTTACCAAATAGTAAACAACTCTAATCACTCGTGCCATCACCAGTTGAAACTGAGTCACAACAACAGATTGAGAGCTTATCATCGCAAATTGACAGAAAAATACAGCCGCTTGCAGTGCAGAAGAAATATTTCGCTGCGGGTTTGCCACACATGGAATACTCTCTCAGAAGCTGTTAGTTCAGCTCCCACGCTGGCCGTGTTCAAAGCTGGGATTACAGTGTTCATAGCTTTTTCATTTTTGCGCTTTATCTCATTTCGTTTTGCTATACGTATTGTGCAGTTATTTTAATTGACCGTATTTGCATACACACAATTCTCGACCTCGAACGGCGCGTCCTGCTTTCCTGCGGCCACGTGTTGAGATTGTTTCTTTTGTGTGCCTGGGAAGTCTGAGCTACGCGAAACCAACACTGGAATATCATATCTCGCCTGTTCTGTCAGGGAGTGTGAAATATCAGTGGAGTTAGTCCAGCCGTCACAACTGAAGGTCAGCGGATTGATACCTTTATCTGACACTAATCCTTTCCTTCCGGTGCGGTATTTAAGACTACAGGGTTGACGATGTACTGGCCCTACTACACCGTATCACGTAACCTAAACGACCCAGGAACCGCAGAAGAACAAACACATATCAACCCTCTGTCATTTCTCGTCTGGAAACCACAGACGATGGTATGAGATTATACATAAAGCCATGTGTGGACTACTCAGACGGGGAAGACTGTAAGCGGCAACTTGGCAATTTGTGGTTGTTTACCATTTCCTGTCGCTATTTATTGCCTTCATTTTGCTCACCTCTAACCGATCACGCAGTGGGGCTTGCCAAACTTCGGCTATCTTCTTTCGCAATATACCATTGACCATTGGCATATCCGTCTACAAGCTCTAAGAGCCTCTTTTCGACACCATACAAACATTCGCTCGCCCTGGGATGACCCCACAGAACTCAAACTATTCTCACCTCGGGCCCACTAGAAGCAAAGAACGAACTACAGCTGGCAGCTTAGAATCCAATAGTTATCAGATACAACTTATAAAGTGCCTCAGTGACACGACGAAATGTAATCGGATGATAGCAGCTCAGAAGGAGCAGTTACTAATTGAGTTGCCGTTCAAGGAAATTCACTGCGAAACATAAGCGCCTAATTGAAATAGACGTACAATACAACAGAACTACGGTTGTCGGTGTCAATGGGGTTCTCAGTGTTAGTCTGAGACTCCATTGTTCATAAACATACATCTCTAGCTGTGGAGACAGAAAGGCCGGGTGCACCAACTGAAAGCTGGGTATCAGGCCTGACAGACAAAGCCCTAAGTGGCTACACAAACAGATGGAAGTTTTAACGGTAGAATAATATGAAGCGAGAAGCCAAGTTACGCCATCAAAAAACACCATATTATCAAGCGGCTTGAAGCCAGTGTTTTTGGTCGAGAGTGACCACTGCTTTACGCAGCAGACTGGGACTCTGAAGCTATCGTGGTAGTGCGAAGTATCTCAATTGGCCGCTAATTGATTTCTTATGGCACTGTTTGTGTGGTGGTTTTGATTGTGCATTTGTGATGAAGGATAATTAATGCATGATGAGACTGTTTCATATTTGGAAGTATTAGACTGGTAATAAAGTTATTGCGTTGTTTTATATTTTTATTTTAACAGCTGTGCTTTTAAGTAAGTTGTACTAAGCTGTTTTGTGCTTCTAGATCATTCGGAAACCCGTTTTGTGCTGTATCTAACTCCGGTGATACTTTAGCAGAGAAACACATTTTTACATCTTTACAGAACATGTGATGCAACCTAGACAGAAGACAAATTCGCACAATGTTCTTGTACCAATATAAACTTGGTCGAAATGCAGCGGAAACAGTCCATGATATCAACAGTGCACTTGGTGCTGGAACCACTGATAACCGTACTGCACGATGGTGGTTTCAGAAATTTCGATAAGGTTACGAGAGACTTGAAGATGAAGATCGTTTTGAACAGCCATTGGAAGTGAACAACAATCATTTACGGGGCTTTGTTAAAGCAGATTCGCGTAAAGCTATTTGAGATCTTGCTGCTGGATTAGCACTATCGCATGTGATAGATCTAAAACAATTTTGAGCGACTGGAATGTCGAAAAAGCTTGATAAATGGGTGCTGCACGAATTGAATGAAAATCGGCGAAACCGTCATCTTGTGGTGTCGTCCGCTTTTCTTCTGTGGATGGGTTGTGACTTGCCATGAAAAATGGATCCTTTACGAAAATCGACGACGAATCTGTCAATAGTTGAACCACAATCAGACTCCACAGCACTTCCCAAACTTGAAAGTACACCCAAAAAGGTTATGGTGACTGTTTGATCGTCTGTTGGTGGTCTGATCTATCACAGCTTTCTGAATCCACGAGAAACGATTACAGTAGAAAAGTATTGCCAACAAATTGTCGAAATGCACTGAAAAATTCAACACAGAGGCCTGGCACAGGCGATACGTAGTGGCCAATTCTTCTTCATGGTAACGCTCGGTCGCACGTCGCACAAACAACGCTGCGGAAGCTACAGAAGCTGGGCTATGAAACTTTTCTTCACCCACCATACTCCCCTAACCTCTAGCTTGCCGGGTAACAAATTTCCAAGCACCTGGATAAGTTCCCGCGTGAGAAAAATTTTAAGACCCAAGGAGATACTAAAACTACCATCTACGATTTCATCGCCACCAGAACTGCGGAATTGTATTCATGCGGAATAAATAAACTTGTATCCCGTTGGTATAAGTGTGTCAACTCAAGTGATTTTTATTTTGGGGAAAATGTTACTTCTGAGCCAAGATATGCGCATTTAAAGTTTAAGATTGAAAAGCGTAATAACTTTATTACCAACCTAATAAATAGAACCGGTACTCAACAAAGTTGATTGGCCAAACTTCGTCAATCAGCGTACAACCACAAGAGTGCAGCACCTACATTTTGAGGGATCGAAAGAACTCATTTTCAGCCAGCTAGGGTGGTCAGCATCCGACAGAGCCCTCGACGCGGTGTGGGCGCCGCTGAGTGGAGCCCCCGTGTGGTTTCGTCGTATCCGTCTATATTTGAACCCACCTGCATCCACTTCGGGTGGATAGTCCTGTATTTAAAAGAGAAATATGGTTATATATGGTTATAAGTAAAATTGTCCTGAATGAGCCAAAATGACAATAACAAAGGTTAAGTTCCGCATACCTCCCTACGAGAACTGATAGATAGACGAAGGAATGCATGTACGCAGTGTTAACAGATGAAGTCACTCGCAAACTGTGTGAGACCACTGATGCTAACCCACCACTTCTCCACTTAAAAACACAGCTACTTTCAGCAAATGCTTTGCAACGATTGCTTTCATCAAATTCAATATTCGTTTATAACTAAACAATTCATTTCAGCCTCCCAGCTATTGTTAATATTCGTTCTCTGTGACTCAGCTATCGTCTAAGTCTATTTAATGCATTCCACATGTAGTTTGTTAGCGGTTGACAGAGAATAAACAGAGATCAGGTCATATCGTTGGACAGTTACGCGTTTTTAGTAACTTAATAAGGTAATGAGTGGAAACTGTAGTACGAGAATTTAGTCGTCACTAGAACACCGCTACATTGCTCATTTAGACTGGCAGATGGATCTAGGAGGTGTAGCTCATCCGAGTCACCAGGCTACTTAATGTGTGATTATCTGTTAAAACGGACAGCACTCAGTTCCAAAGACCGACTTTTGTTAACCCGCCCCTGGTCATAGCTACACAAGCAGAAAAAGGCGTTGAACCGACACACACAGGTTTCGAGACATCTGTGATCTGCGGATCGTCAGCTCAGTAATTGCGTACGCCCATGGCATGCTGGTGATTTGATAACAGGTGCAACTTAGTCAACACATTTATCAGTAATGGGAGGGGGCGAACGAACAATCGGAGCTCTTAGTCTACTGATAAAAGCAACCAAAGGGTACCGTAGGGCCAAAGAACGGTGACAGACGCACTAGTTTAATCATCAAAATAGCGGCAGCTCTTAGACAGAGTGAACTATGGTCATCTAATGTCGAGAGTCCTTCGTTGTAAAGCGGGGACTACCATGTCGAAGTGTTCACGACTTTAGCTACGTATTTACTTTGAGAGAGTATAACTTTGCGTTTTAAGGGATGCGGGATTGAATGAGGATGCGCTCGAACATCATTTGCTCATAAAATTTCGACCTGGTCTGAGCGCATCGTGACAAATACATGCATACGGAAAAACGGGTAACGCTCACTCGTCTCCACACTGCGTAGGCAGCACTAAATGAGCCAGTCTGCCACTCGCGAAAATCGTGACATGCACTTCGCACAAGTTCTTCCCACGTACTGTCCAGTTCGTAATTCAAGTATCGGGGGCAGTTTGTTTTTCGCCAGTTAGTTGTTCGGATTCGCTCACCCAGATCATTCAGGAGTGATTCGCTCTCACTAGATGACGTGAAATACCGATGCTGTTGTACCATTGAATCCGTTACGGCGATGGAGAGATCTGGTTTATCACACTTCGGTAGGTTATCAACTGCACTAGTGGGTGTTATCAGGTTAACGGCACTAGATTCCTTCTGGCTGCATTGAGCGTTACCAGTGGGACTTGTAATGGGAGCCCGCTGTGCTTCACTCGTGCATGACACATGAACAATAAGATGGGGGTCTGGTCGTTTTTGGTCGAAGAAGTAGCATGATCTCGGAGACAGCATCTTCCACCGGTGCGCTCAGACTGCACTAATAGCTTGGAGGTTAACGAATGGCTCAAATTACCTATTGTGCGAAACATCACAATCTGCACACGTGACCAGCGGACTAGCTTCGCCATTGGCAGGTCAGAGACAGCGAGCCTCCTCGATATCTCTGTACGCGCGTGTACAAAGAACAGACCACCTGGTCAATGAGCCGTTACTATGGCGACGAGATCTAGCGAGTAAAGTGCCTACCCAAGCTATCGATATTTCGAGTTACTTCGACCATAAGGTCATTATGACTTAGTTGGGCTAGTTAATAAGCTACCATGCAATTGGCTTTCGAGTGCCGAATTTCAGAAACGAAGTTTGCAGGTATTTCTCCAAAGTAACACCTTGGCGAGAGGTGACCTGGAGGAAGGAAACGCACATCCTAAGCTTGAAAATTTAGTAACGTCAGACGCCTTAGGCGTTGCTAGTTTGCTACTGGCACGCAGAAGCCGAGTCCACTATCAATCTGACGTACGAAAACGGAGCATCGGCGCAGTGTACTCGGCGAGCGATCATTGTGGAGACATGAGCTAGCCGCCTAGGTAGCGGTAGATGTGTCCGCCCACACGAGGCTGAACTGCGGCACAGACGCAGACGCGCAGGTACAATGTTCACTACCGCTAAACTTGAGGAGCGTGCGGATGGGACACGATGCAACATGCGCTGTCCGTGGTCAGCATTCATTGGCCGCAATGCGAAGGTCGTGTCCGCCCCTCCAATCAGGTGAAGGACCATATCGATCCGAAACAATGAGGCTTGTCCGAGAGTGAAGGCTGTCGTTCCGACACTGCCACATGCGCTACCGTAGACAACATTGGGTAGACCATCATGTTCCCTAAAGGGAGCATAACCAAGGTGAGTGAGAATTCATTCCTTTTTCAAAAGAGCAAAAAAAACCCACATTTTAACAGGATATACTGAGTTCAGTAATTTCGTGTGTTCTCCTCAGCTGTTTACAAACAATTTGTGGAAAGGATAGGTTACATAGCAATGACGATCAATTTTCAATGTTAACGGCACAAATTTAATCCGGTCGAAAATTGGTGAGTGTACATGACCCTGTCAGTGGAAACATGACACTAGCCTCATCAGGATAGGGCGAGGCTGGTCACGAAGTCCGTTTGTTTGTGCAAACTTGGTTTCAACCGGCGTATCGCCGGCCCCAGCGAACTGAAGTAGACGGGGATTGCTATGTTTGTGCATTATCTTAAACCCACCACGTGGTTTTCGCATACGGGGCAATCAAGTACATGGCATGCAATAGAGTTAGTGCGTAGTTTCGGGCCATTTGCGACCATGTACCCGGGGGGAAGTGCTCTGCAATCCTCTCTGACAGCCTTCTCTCAGTTCCGCAAGTACAGGTAAAATGGTAAACGCACGTGACGGTAACTTGAGGGTCCGGTCTTTCTAGCTTGGATATGCACAGCAGCCTCTTGACTTGATGCAATGCCACTAGCTCAACCGCGTAATAGCACTTCTTGATAGATTGGCGAAGACGTTGCCCGTTGCACTGTTGCTACAGATTCAGACAAGCATGTTTGAAAGCAAATATTTCTTATATATGACCTACTTCCATTGCGGCGGGATTAGTGGCGAAAACTCATGGCAGATTTAGTAGGATACAACCACGAATCCTGTTACCATCTTGCTTTCTACTGTATTCTTGTCTAGTCAACTTGATGTATGGGCCAATGATAGTGTCGTCAGGGAATCTACGAGTGAAGTGTGTGGGCGTCAACAACGCTCTTGGGTAGCAACACGAAACCTTCTGACTAACCGTTCTTCACACCTCGCTTTTATTTTATATACTTTCCATCTCGCCTTGGTACTAACCTTTCTTTAAATGACCTTCATTATACTTTACCTTCGTTTTCTCTTATTCTTTGCTTAATTCAGCTACATCGCACGGCAGCGACTGCTAGTGCACCAGACGTGGGCACTAATTGGTTGACTAGGGTGGGATTCAGGTGTTTCGTTTTAGATTCATCCAAACATCGGAACATCTTGGCTCAACGATCCGCTCCAGAAGGAACATACACGGGTCTCTCTAACGTACCAGTCCTATAAACTTGAACTAGCAAACATATGTTAGCCTACCCCTGCAACCACGATCTCATCTATTACCATAATATAATTATACATAATATCTTTTGTTGCATAGTAACCCGTTAGTAGCTTTCCAGAACGATGCTCATCCGTTACTGGTAGCTCAACTGGCATGCATCTGTAGCATGGTTTTTCTTTTTTCTCTTATGTATTGCGGCACAGTAGCTGAGGTGTTTTCCACCTGTAGCTAACGTGTATGATGATTATGACGATGATGATGATGATGATGATGATGATGATGATGGGATACTAGTCGGCATCAGTGATGCGTAAGAGACGTGCTACATACGAAACAGTGAAGTATATGAAGGCAGCTGCACCCAACGTATATTGTGCAGGCTAAAAGGATTTGGAAACGAATCAGAAAGCGCAAGGGAATTATTGTGCGTCGATCGGGCACTTTATATCTGGTATGATACTAGACGACCAACCGAAAGCAACGGGTAGAACACATAAACGTAAAGCTAGGAAAGATCTTTATTGAACATAAGAAGAGTTACTAGCTAATGCTAAAAATAGGACACAAACGTTAGCTAGGGAGGATGTAGTTGGGGGTCGAGTGCGGGAACGGGGCGTCGTTCGCAGTCCACTCGCACGCACCAAAGGCGGATATCGTATTCGTTTCTCAAACAAACGGGACAACGTTCCAACAGACAAACCACAATTCTATAATACATTAGAAAACCATTATTTGGAATATTTACAATGATTTTCCCAGTCATACGGGGGATCTCCAGGTCACTGCACAGCCCCCCCCTCCCAGAAGGGAAACCTTGCGTGACTTCGATCTATAGGAGGACTGTCCGTCGCGGGCCAGCCTTCTACGAGACCAGGTAGTGGAATCTGATGCAACTGCGGGGGGAGAACCAGACGATCGGACCCTAGCGGGCTTCCACTCGTGTCCTCCTTAACGGTGCCAAAAACAAAATGAAGGAAAGTTCGTAAGCGTCAAATGTTAGCTAGTTCGTGAATGTCATAGGTTCGCTTCACGCTCGTCATCTCCGGTCCATACTTAAAAAACAAGCGGAAACAAGAGCAGTGACGATGGTGGCGAGGGTAAAAGCAACAATGACACTTACCGGATGAGTTAGGCGTCAAGAAAAACGCAATTTTTTCGTGTTTTCAGAACGTTTTCATCATTTTTGGATTTTTAAAACATTTTGCGTTCTTTTTGGGTTTACAAAAATGTTGTCGGTATTTTTGGCGTTTTCAAAAGCTTTTTCCGCTTTTTGTGTTTTCGTACGGTGAAGCCCAACAGAGAAAGGAAAGCGAAAAAAGTGATAGGAATACTAATCCCTTAATCGCGCTGAGGAATGAACTCGCCCACCCGACCTAATCCATTACTGCAGTTCGGAGGAGTGTTGTCTTCGCCGCTCTAGCGGATCGCAAAGTTGTAGGAATTGCTGTTATTGTGCATCTTGGTTCGGTTGGAAGCGGCGGAACTGAAATGGGAGGCTTGGATGAGTAGTGCTGCTTGGAGTCATCGGTGTTGGAAGCAGGTGAGTTTTCCATTATAGGCTGGGTTGATTCGTCAGAAGACGAGCAAAAGTCTTCATCGAGCTCAGGTTCCACGTTGTCAATCTTGAGCCGGTCAATCGTAACGGCTTCTCGTTTACCGTGACAATCGATGGTAAAGACGCGGTTTTAACGCTGCAGTACCTTGAAAGGACCTACGTAAGGTCGATCCAGCGGTCTGCAAAGACCATCGAGGCGGAGAAAAACGAACGGACAATGTTGCAGGTTTTGTGGGACAAAGGATTTACGCCGTTGTCCTCTAACGTCAGGAAGCTTGAAGTGACGCATGCTCGTGGCTAGCTGACGAGCACAATTCGCGTCGTAACGGGGAATTATGAGCCTATCGGAGAAGAAATCGGCAGGTAAACACAGTGGTTGTCTATATATTAACTCGACGCTAAACGTACGTAGATCAGCCTTTAAGGCTGAACAGATCCAAGAAGGATCATAGACAGCACCTGAGTTCAACTCAGCGCATTGGCGGTGCTAAGTGAGGCTTTCAGCTGTCGGTGGAAACCTTCCACCATGCCATTCGCTCACGGATGACAGGCGGTCGTGCGAATGCGTCGGCATCCAATGAGTTTCAAAAGCTCGTTAAAGGTCGAAGATTCGTATTTCGGACCGCGGTCGGTCGCCACTATGGCTGAACGGCCGTGTGAAGCGACCCAGCGCTCAACGAAAGCGTGCGTTACGGTTTCCACAGCTACGTCAGCGATGGGAACGGCTTCGGGCCAACGGGTGCAGCGATCGACCATGGTCCAAATATAGACCATTCGATTGGACGCTGCTAAGCATCCAGCTATACCAAGATGGACGTAGACAAAACGAGCTGAAACGGACGGAAAGCGACCAGGCGGAGTGGAAACATGCCTCTGTATCTTGGTTTGCTGGCATGTGAGACAGCTGCATGCCCAACGCGTAAGATCGCGTTGCATCACCGGACAAACGTATCTCACGGAGATGACTTAGCAGTAGCTTTAATGCCTAGGTGGGCGATATTGTGGAGTTTTCGAAAACGATACGGCGTTTAGGGGGATCGCCTGTATCAGGAGCCCAGAGAGCGATTCAAGAAGACAGATCGAGTTGCAGGGAAACTTTTATTGGTACGGTAAAAGATTCCGTTATCTAGCTATAAAGGAACGACACCGTGGACGCTCTAGCTAAAGGAACGGAGCATGCACAGCACACAGGGCAGTCGCGAGTTGCAACGGAAACGAGCGCCAAGCAAAATGGCGATGAGCAAGTCAAGCATTCGAACTCAGCAATCAGTTCAACAAACCACACCAGTTGCCTAGGTGTACAATGAAATAATTTTAGTTAGAATTTTACACAGGCAAACCGGGGAATCTCTAGACTGCTACATAGCCCTCTCCCAGAAGGGACTGTGTGAGCAGTCCTCTTATCTACGTGAGGACTGTCCGTCGCGGGCCAGCCTTCTGCGAGACAAGGTTGTGAAATCTGATGCAGTTGCTGGGGGAGAACCATGCAATCGGACCCTAGCGGGCTCCCACCCGTGTCCTCCCTACGGTGTCGAAACGGTAAAAAAACTGTTTGTGGGGGGACAGTTAGTAGTTCACGTAGGCGGTTGAGCAGGAAGTTCTTTCCACTTCCACTTTACGTGCGGGGATCCAGCGAAAAGTGAAACCGATGTGCTACCAACCGGCGGTGTATATGGGAAGCAAAATGAAACAGCAGCATAAATGCATAGCAATACACAAAAGAGTGCAAAACGAAAAATGTGCAAAGCTTTTTTTGGGTACTCAAAAGGTTTTGCTCTTTTTTGGTAGTTTCTAGACGTTTTGGTCTTTTTCTTGTGGATTTTCAAAAACGTTTGGTAAGAGCAGCAAATTTCAAAGGCACGTTCTATGTAAAAGAGTGAGTGCTAACGAAGTCCGATAAATGAACTGGAGGTTTGAGCTTCCTATCAGGTCGATTGATAGTAGGGCGAGTAGGAGTGCTGTCGGTTTAGGTTGTTGGTTCTGCTGGAGTGGACTGACTCGTCTGAGGTTGCGGTGCGAGCTGTGATGGCGCAGGCTGTAAAGGTGCTTTCTGCACCGAAGAGTCAGACTTGTCGAGGAATGCTGGCTTGAGTCGATCGACGTTGATCGTCTCAGTCTTACCATTGTAGTCAATGGTAAACGTCTTGTCGCTTCTGCGTACGACACGGTACGGACCAGAATAAGGAGGTTGAAGTGGTCGGCGTACGCTGTCAGTGCGAACGAACACGTGCGTGC